GTTATAGGCCTCGTTAACGAGTTGCTATATATAGCCATTCTCGGCCTTAAGCTAGGCGATTTTGGCGTTGAGAGCCTCGAGAGCCTACTGCATCTGTCGCATGGTTGCGGCCTGGCTCTAGGATTCCGGGGTGCTAGGTGTCTGGGGCGCCATAATGGTCGGTGGTACCTTCGATCTGAACCGTGACAGAGTCAAAGGGAGTGAGCAACGTGTGACGAAACCACAGGCAGTCCTGCCTCTGAAAGGGTTCGCCGGTCGAAGGTATCTGCTGGTCGGACTGTAGGTCTCGGTAAAGCCAAAGGGTTCACAACAATGCAAGTCGCAATGTCTGTACAGTAATGTAGGGCTACCTTACTGCTTGTATTGCTCACTGGAGAACTCCCAGAGTCCTCCAGAACGAGTGACTATATACTGGCTATCTTTGGGTGCTCTCATGTGCTCTATAGAGCTCCCTAGAGCTCGGTGCTCTGTTGACTCCATCGAGAGCTTCCATTTCCTCACGTTGATTGGCTTAGCTCCTGAAGCTCTCGTCTGCTCTCTAGAGCACCTTAGAGCTCCTTCTTATTGGTCCTAAATGATTGGTTCGGGTGCGCCCTGCGCCACCCGTCGGGTTGTCCCACCTGCAGCTGTCCTGTTGGCTTAATTCGTGACACCTAGAGAGGCCGTAAGATCGACTCAGCTCGTATCAACGGCGCCACTAACGCGGTCATCCGTAGCTGGTTCCCACTACTAAAGATCCCAGCCATCAAGGACATCTTACCTGCCAACCGCTGGAACTTTGACGAATTCGGCCTTATGGAAGGTCAGGGTATCAACGGCTTGGTAGTTGGAAGTGCCTATATACGCGCAGTGCAACGGAAAGTCCCTGGTTCGCGTGCCTGGACCTCCTTCTTGGAGTGTGTCTCTGCGATAGGGGTATCACTCCTACCAGCTGTCATTTTCAAGGGCAAGAGCGTTCAATAGCAGTGGTTCCCTATCGCCAAGGACGAACTAAAGGACTGGCTATTCACTGTAACCGATAAAGGCTGGGTGAATAGGGTGATTGTATTGGAATGGCTGCAACGGGTCTTTATCCCTTGGACCTAGCCGCAGGATCCCTCCCAGAGGCGGCTGTTAATACTGGACGGTTATGACAGCCATACAACCACTGAATTTATATAGGAGTGCTTTAACAACAATATCCAACTACTCTTTTTACCAGCCCATACCTCCTACGTTCTCTAGCCGTTGGATTTATCAATGTTCTCTCCCCTCAAGCACACCTACCGCAAGCTCCTCAACCGTTTGACTAGCTGGTTAGAATATACTGCATTAGGCAAGCAGTTGATATTAAAGTGCCTTGTCCAGGCTCGTAGAAAGTCAATTACAGCTTATAACATCAAAGCTAGGTGGAAGGCATCTGGGTTATAGCCTCTTAGTATGGCCAAACCACTAATAAGCTCTCTCTTGCTGGAAAATTCGAACCGGGCGCTTGACGAAGATGATCTACTACGCCTACTATAGACCCCAGCTCCTACGCTACCTGGCCATCCAACTACTACGGCTAAGGAGGTCGAATTTCAGACTCCACGCAAGAAGGTAGACCTTCGGGATCACCTGACCAACCTGGCCATCCGGCGGCAAGATCTTTCTACGCGACGGCTTCTATTCAAGAAGGTTGAGAAGGCTTTGGATGAGAAGGACTTCCAATTGGCTCGCTTACAACAGGAAAACGAGGCTCTGAAAGTCCAGTTGGAGGCAGCCCGGCCGTCGAGAAGGAGGAGGGTAGTCCCGGATCCGAATAAGCAGTTCGCTTCCATTAAACAGGTACACCGGGCTCAAATTGAGGCTGGTCGTCTTGAGGAGTCTGGCATTGAAGAGAGCGGGTCAGAAAGCTCCGGCTCAGATGCTTCCTGTATTGTGGTGGGTTGATGATGTTGTAATGTAGTAGGTTGAAGAAGATGGGTGGTTCAGATGCCAAGGCTTACAAAGTGTTCGGAATGTGGGGTGTTCGGAATGGGGGGGGTCCGACTTATCCGCGACGAGTGCAACACAACGCCATCCATCCTTGAGTCATCGCAACTTCCACTCGCACAGATAACTACTCATTGATAAGGTGGTAGAATGAACCCACCGATAGAATTTACCAGAACATTACGACGACCCGATAAATCTACCTAGCCTCCCAGACCCTTCTGGTGGCACGCTAGTAAAAAATAAATAAAAGGAAGGTGAAAAGAGACTAAGAACGAATCACATATCTCGTAAGAAGCCGAATAAAAGAACCCGTCCCGATACACATCCGATAGATATCATCTATCCTTGGATGGCGAAGTATACCGGTTATGCTTCCAATGGTAGCCAGAGCATATATTGGCTATTGCAAGTAATCCAGGACCAATCCAGTCCCAGGCCATAACCATGTCTCACGAGATTGTCCGGCTTAATTGAAATTTCAGTGATCGCTACTATTGCCATCCGAATTCGTCCAATATCCGTACGTAAGTGGCGGTACTCGGTTAGGTCAAATGATATACGGCGTATCGGGGCACCGCCATCGATCCTCTGCATATAGCACCCCGACGCGGCGTCCCAGATCTTGACGGTCCTATTGTCCGAACCGGATACAATCCGCTGGCCGTCGGGCGAGAACGCGACCAACTGAACCGAGTCACTATGGCCTTCTAACGTCTATATATAGCGCCCGGACGTGGCGTCCTAGATCTTGACGGTCCTATCGCCCGAACCGGATACAACCCACTGGCCGTTGGGCAAGAACGCGACCGACTAAACCCAGCCGCTATGGCCTTCTAATATCTGCAGGCATACATTCCAATCTGCTTCCACGACCGGCTTTATTTTAATCCAATCTGGTTCTTCTGCCTTGAAACACCCCTTTATAAAGCTGCCGGCTGGGGCGAATACAAGGGCTGATATATATGCTTGAAGCAGAGCCCACACTACAAGCGATAGCTAATAAGATACGTCCCTGTATCGCTTACTGGTACCCCTGGAGACAAAGATTTCGAAGAGGCCCGGGTTAGGTGATATATGCTTCTAGGGTGAAGCAGCTTAACGAAGGGTTTAAGATTCTATGGCTAGGAGATATTTACGTCCATGACGGGGCTTGCTAGAAGATCGGCAATAGTACAATATCCGTATACGAATTTGGAGATGCTCTTATAGCTACAGATCCCGACGAGTCTATAGAATCGGCTTTACTTAGCATAAACTACGCCCCTTTTCCCCTAGGCGATAACACTAATCTTCTCTTGTTTCTAAGGCTCCCCCCAATCTCTTACCGTCTCCTCTTCCAGCTCGGCTCCCTTGCCCAACACCACTGCCAGGAACCAAGAATCCTTCGTAACGATGTAGAGGAACACCCAAAAAAAGTCTGCAAGCTCGTGGCATGGAGGCTTAACAGCGCTACCATCGGAGGTGAGCTCCAGAGGATTATCATTCTCACCGAATGGATTAGCGGACCCAATAAGGAAGACAAAACACTCTCGTAGGAGCCAGAGCCAATGCTACACGCCATTTGCAAGCCACTGCTGCTAGGATTTTGGGAACGTGGTGGCGGACGAGACTCGAGTATTCGGATACGCGGCGGCCGCTTGGATGCTAGCAGCCAGTACCTAGTTCACACTATCCAAGGAACTCGTATACGCTGCTACAGGCGGGAGTACCTTCTTGAGTAGGTGGGCTACGAGCACCCCTACTTGGGAGGATAGGGCTAATACGTCAAAGGAGTTGAAATAAGAGTACTACGCCAAAGCGTAGGGGTTAGGCGATGTACCTAGGGAGATAGATGCCGCTTATATAGTTCTGCCCAAATCTAAATTCCGGGATCGAGGCAAACAAGACTCTGAATTGGATTCTGGTGTTATCAGCAAGCCTCGCTGGAGGGACCTTGATAAGGATCATTGCAGTATCCTGGACTAATACCCGGCATGAGCCTTAGGTTGATCAAGGATATTCAAGCCTCCTATATATATTATAAGGCCAGAGCACTCGCAAAAAGATAAACATTATCTTGAAAGGTCTACAAGTGTACTGGTGATATGGTAAATACACATATACACATACACAATTTATTGTCAGCATAGGCCAGCTTTAGGGCGGCCGATAAGTGTATGCCTTAAGGAACGAAAGGGTCCTAGAGGACGCGAAGAAGGAAAGCCCTACAACCCCGAGAGACCTATAAACACTCGTCGGTTTTTCGGTCACGTACATATACAAACGTACGATAGGAGCACGTCCATTTACTCTATGCTCAGACTACCCTACTACCGGCTTTGGCTCCCGGAAGGTATTTCATTCATATTACAATGTCCGGACTACCGAATCTCCTCCTTCCCTTTCTTCTCAGTCCTAGGTTTCTGCCTCCGCAATAGTCGCGTAGTTTATTCATATCGCGAACTGCTAAACTTCCCTGTATTTTTTCCTTTTTCTTTATCAAATCCCAGATATAACAGGCAGTACCCATCTATAGTATATGCCAATTACCCCTAGACTAGGTCCTATAGGATTAGTTAGCGAACGGGTGGCTTATACACCTGACTACTTCCTATATTAGAGACGCGCCCTATATTCGTTCCCTTTTCCCTTCCTAGCTTTCGATTAGCAGAATTAAGTTGGCATTTGCAGTGCCCCTGTCCCTCGCCTTAATGCCACTTGTCTCTTACACCAGGTTCCGAATTCCCAACAGTTGTATGTTACACCCGTCATAGCCCCCTCCCCAACTTGCCGACGAATCGATGTCACGATAGCTATACATATAGGCTATAGGGGTCACTCTACCTCGGAGCCCTACCATCTTCTTATATATTCTATAACATATATTTCCTACACTTGTATATAAGACCACTACGCTCTCTAATATAGCCTTCTACTCCGATTTCTCTACCTATATACCAAGATAGAAGGAGATAAACACACTTAAATTTCTTATTATACGGCCAAATTCGACTTATTAACGTCTTGTAAGGAAAATGCACGGCGATAGAGGAAAAAGAACCTTACTAAAGCATTCTAGCTTCGCAGTCAATGGACATATACTGGGCTTCCACCTTCTCAACTCCTATCCTTTTATATCCCCTGCTCCCTGCTTTCTCCCGAATCATCAGGACATAATAAGTCTTCCGAGGGTCTTCCTTATTATCCTTGACCATGCTAACGACAATACAATTACAATCTCCGAGCTAGATCTAATATACTATATCAAACTATAAAGAGCCGACTTTTTCTGTTCCATTGAAAATAATATATTCTTCCCCTTTTTCCTCCATTCGACAATTCCCCCGAAACTTCCTTGCTTCGATGCTTAGCGTCTGTCCATCGTTGGCGAAACCGAGATCCTCGAAGCGCGGGATCAGGAGATCCTACCTTGTATCAGAGATAAAATCAATGCCTCCAGGGTATGCTATCCAAGACTATGATGGCATGGCTCGGTCCTTGTAGGCAGTCGGGGGTGACTTGTTCTTATAAGCCCGCTTCTATAGGAGAAGGGAACTAAGAAAGCAATAGAAGATCCTATATCTTACTTTAGTCCTTAGTACCTGTCCTATATGCTCGACTAGGCTATAAATTGCAATATCCCTATTAGTCTTAACGGTAAGACCGGATATTGAATACTTTCTAAAGAGGAATTGGACAAAGTCGACGGTACAGGTAAACCTAGACTGCTGGAGTCTATGCGGAAAGTTGGGATCAAGGATGAAATATTGCTTTCCAAACGGCCTAGAGCAAGGTAAGACTTCGTAGTTCGTGTGATGTTCGATCCTATAGACTTACGGCTCTAATTTTATAAGCTATTCATATAATACTCTATCTTTATATTCGCAATATATATACGCCGCTATAAAATAGATGATTCGACGGGACAGTACCTGTTCTTATAGGACCCAAGCCCTCTTTATAAGGGGCCCCTTATCTACGTCTTTTTCGAAGTCATATATATAAGTCAATATGCTTAGAGCACCTAGAACTCCAATATCCAGGGGATACAATAGTGGCTCCAGGAAACCATTTCCCTAGCTATATACTGAACTCGCGGCAATAGTATAGTAGGCGCAGGCGAAGATATCTGCTATAGTCGTAGCCTCGCTATCCCAGTCGCCGTCTGGTCCCTATATAATATAAAGAGCGTCAATCCAGAGGTACTGCTTATATAGCGCTCGAGTGACCTGAACTGCGTCTTGAAACGTCTTCGGTAGCTCGTCGTAATTAAAGCCCCGCTTTCGAGCTTCGTAGTTTTCGCTGGTAGTATAGAAACGTTTCTTTTCTTGATCTATAAGGGGACCCCAGCAGTACGAGAGCACAAGGTAGTCTTCTCTATAGAGTTGTCCTTCAACGAGGATCAATTTGTTTGGGTTACCAATAGAGATAACCCGCTTAGGCCAAAAGTTATTCTTTTCTGATTGCCGACTACATTGGATATAGTTTTTATTATAGTTCTGAAGCCACTTATATAGCATGCGAGAGTTTAGAGGGCTGGCTATTGAATCGGATAAGACAGCGTTATAAGAAGTATTTGGTAGCGGTTCGCTCCATAACTCCATGGCAGAGGTATTCTGACGTATCCACGATGTCTATAAAAAGGTTAGATTAGAAGGATATCCAAGGTTATACCAGAAGCGTCTATTTACATCCTATACCACTATACGTACCAAGGTCAGCAATCGTCACCCTCTCGTTCATCTCCAAGGCATCTACTTACCCGCTACACCAATATACATACCAAGGTCAGCAATCGTCACCCTCTCGTTCATCTCCAAGGCATCTACTTACCCACTACACCGCCATACGCACCAAGGTCAGCAATCATCACCCTCCCGTTCATCTCCAAGGCGTCTACTTACCCGCTACACCGCCATACGCACTAAGGTCAGCAATCACCACCCTCCCGTTCATCTCCAAGGCGTCTACTTACCCGCTATACCGCCATACGCACCAAGGTCAGCAATCATCACCCTCCCGTCATCTCCAAGGCGTCTACTTACCCACTATATCACCATACGCACCAAGGTCAGCAATCATCACCCTCCCGTTCATCTCCAAGGCGTCTACTTACCCACTATACCACCATACACACCAAGGTCAGCAATCGTCACCCTCTCGTTCATCTCCAAGGCATCTACTTACCCGCTACACCAACATAACACCAAGGTCAGCAATCATCACCCTCCTGTCCATCTCCAAGGCGTCTACTTACATCCTACACCACCACACGTACCAAGGTCAGCAATTGTCACCCTCTCGTCCATCTCCAAGGCGTCTACTTACCCGCTATACCAACATACACACTAAGGTCAGCAATCATCACCCTCTCGTCCATCTCTAAGGCGTCTACTTACCCACTATACTACCAAAGGCACCAAGGTCAGCATATATCATTTGCTCATACACCTTTACACGTACCTCCTATACAGTGCAATTATAATTAGCTATTGTCTTATAAGGTTTCAGCTAGAGTATAAATATCACCTGAAAATCGTCGTGAATCCAGCGACGGCGCTGGGCGCCCTCAGATGCCATTTTGAAGACTAGTTTCCGGCCAGATGGAGGTTGCTCCGGCACGATGGGGAATCCGAGCGGGGTTTAATATCTATAGCTGCGGGGTAATATTGGGCCTTATTTTGTTAGGCATCAACCTGCATATGCAGCCTCGCTGCTCGCGAAAGTGGGGAGAAGTCATAAACAGATCTCCTTTCGCCGTCAGGACGTATAAAGAATCTCTCTTGGCAAGAGTATAAGGCACCTGACAGTGTTGCCAGTATAGGAAAGAAGCAGCAGAGAAATCTAAAAAAAGACGTGTACGTCGAGGCCCTTTAGCTGAATCCACTAATGTTAAGGTACGTGCATACAATACAGCCACGGTAGGCCTGGAGGACCTGAGGTTTGTCACGATCAACGACTTCAGGGTTAGGGTCCCCTGAAACCTGCATCGAGAATCTGATTGACAAATCTTCGGTTACGAACAGACTAAACCTATTGAATATTGCCATATACCATTCAGCTTCGTTCCTCAAGGCTCTTTAGGCTAACCGCGAGCGGTTTGCGTCTCCTGTCTCCGGCATAGAAGAGTCCTATATTTGCTGGTCGTTTTCCGACCAGGACAACTGGGTCTATTGGGGAGATCTCAGTTAACGCGCTCGGACCGTACAACCGCACGGCCCCATATAAAGTTAGTGTCTCCTGCTCGTTCTCCATCATTAGTCCTCATCCTCTCCTAAGGGTTCAGGGAGCTGATAGGGCTCCTATCTTGCAGCCTATTGGGTTCAGCTACGCATTGTATATTCCCCACTAGGTACTATCCCAAGTATAATAACGTTAAATAGCTTGAGTTACAGGCACTAGCGAAATCGCCTTCTACATTTCTCTCTCCTATCTTTCTAGTGCACGGACTGTTTATGCATCTAGCTAACCATACCGTGTGCCCTTGTATACGCTTATATACCAGGCAGGATAATGCAACAACGCAGTATTATAATGACCATCAGCTAACCTAAACGGTTAGCCAACCCGGACTGTCAGCCAGAAATGGCTGTGGCAAGAAATAGTTATTATTACAATGATCGTCGTCAAATAATAAGCCGAATACAGCTCCATTGTAGATTCCACCAACGGCTAATAGATAAGAGAGGGCATAGCTGATTCCTTGACCAAGTGCCGGATGGCGATGGTTCCGATTGCTACTGCTCGACTTGCCGGTCTGCCAGTCGGGTCGTCTGCCATCGCCGAATTTCGGGTACAGTCACCGTGTCGCTATTCAGGGGGGTATTGCTTTCTTGCACGCATTCAGACTTGGCGGACCCCACACGATCCAGGATCAAGCAATCTAATCGGCTCCTTGGCGGAATATGGCGACTCCCTTCTGTAAGGGAAAGCCGAAAGCTGCCATCTTATGAACGATCGTATTCTCGCGTCGATGAGCTGGTGGTTCGTCGACAATGGGGTGGTAGTTTGTCGACAATGGGGTGGGTTGAAGTGGCCTTGGCGAACCCCGCAATACACTAGCCCTGCATAATTGGGTCGAGGCAGTATGTCGGGCGGCGGTTAGGCAGCTCGACGCCCCTCTCTCTAAACCTTATAATCTTCGGACAGAATACTATAACCACGATTCTCTGTCACGTTTCCAAACGAATTCCTCAACTTGTATTATATATCAATCATTCCGTTATTTCGCGATACAATAGAGGGGCTCGGGGCTACTATAAGCATCATCGTGGTTATTGAGCTGGCCGCCAAGGTCGGCTCTCTCTATCTTAAATACTCGTCCGCTGTCAAGAGCGCCAGGTCCGATATCGAGCGCCTGAAAAAGCATACCGACAGCCTGAAGATAATAGCTAAAGACGCGCAAAAGCTTCTCCAGGGTTTATATAGAGCTCGGCTCGAGACTTCGCAAAAGCTGCGCGAAACCTTTAACGATACCTACTCGCAGCTTGGTAATATTACTACGAAGCTGGAAGCGAAGCTGTATATGGGTCGTACAGCATTGGTGATAAGACGTATGGGGCTACGAGCTTTAAAATGGCTGTTCGAGAGCAAGGATATGGATAAGATTATTGTAAACCTTTAACGAGATCAGGACGCCTTTATAGCCGCCCTTTAGATCGATCAAGCGTATATATAGACTATTAAAAATGGTGTCAATCCGCAGCTAACCTCGATGTCTAGGGCGGAAATTCTCGATATCGGCCGTAAGATCGACCTAACAATGCTCCCGGTCGCAAGTGGCGCAGCCTTCGACTTGCACGCCGAGGAGCATAACACACGATGCCACCCCGACACCCGAACCGAGCTCCTTTGCCAGATCCAGGAGTGGGCAAACGATCCTCAAGCCGAGAGCATATTCTGGCTGAATGGCATGGCAGGGACGGGGAAATCCACCATCTCTCGAACCGTGGCCACCTCGTTCGCCAAAGACGGCCTGCTTAGTGCGAGCTTCTTCTTCAAGAGGGGAGAAAGCGACCGTGGCAAAGCTAGCTTGCTTTTCCCTACTATTGCTAGTCAGCTTGTGTGCCAAATCCCTGCCCTAGAGCCTTCCGTCAGAAAGGCTATCGATGCCGACGTTCCTAAGAAGGCACTGAGAGACCAGCTCGAAAAGCTCATCCTCCAACCTTTTAGCAGCATTCACCGTACCACGGCAGTTGTGATCGTCGTTGACACTCTCGACGAATATGATGGAGACGAAGACATGAAGACTATTATCTCCCTGCTTGTATAAGCAAGCGTGGTATGCTCTATACGTTTGAGGGTCTTCATCACTAGTCGGCCTGAGCTGCCTATTCACCTTGGTTTTAAGAACGTCCAGGGAAAGTATCAGGGCCTAGCTCTATACCAGATCCCAGAATCTATTGTAGAATAGGACATATCCATATTTTTGGGGTATGAGCTCGCACGAATCAGGGATGAATATAATAGATAAGCTCTCCAGTATTCTAAACTACCACTAGGTTGGCCCGGCCAAGATGTCATTCGGACTCTCGCTCAAATGGCCGTCCCATTGTTCATTTTTGCCGCAACCATTTGTTGATTTGTTGAGGATAAGGCATGGTTTAATCCCGGCGATCAGCTAAAGAAAGTCCTATAGTACCAGGCGAAAACGTTCGATTCCGAGCTCGACAAGCTTAATATAATATATCTCCCCATCCTCGACCAGCTTACCATAGGACGTCCTGATCTATAGAGGAGCCGCATATTAGCTTAGTTCCAGGATGTCGTTGGCCCTATTGTTCTCCTCTCCCAGCCCCTCTTAGTATTATCGCTTGTACGGCTTCTTAACATCCCCCATACGACTATATATAGAACGCTAAGAGTAAAAAGACTTCTTTCTTTTCCACTTGATCGCTGCTTGCCCGCAAGGGCGGCAAACTCTTCGAAACATATATTATTCTAACCGCCTCGACGAGCTCTATCTAACGGTACTGGTTGCACTTGCGCGGCCGTCCTTGCGCGGCCGCAACAGGCCATTGAAGTAGCCGTTGTGTTACGGGCACCCGACCGTCAGGCAAGATTTTTCCCTACGCACAGACCAACCGGTTATTCCCGGACCACCTACCCTACCGGACCCGGTTACTCCCGAACGGCCCACCCTATCAACGATCCCCCACACTCCTCTACGCTACCCACCCTATAGGCCCCCACAGGCCCCACCCTACGAGGAAGAGCTGAAAATGAACGACGTTCCGGATCCGGCACCTGACATTGAGATGGGGGAAACCCCCCCTGCCCCCCCGGGGCTACATGCAAGCCAACATGCAAGCCAGAAGACCCTACCTACTATAACCAAGCCGGCCAGAACAACCAAGTCTACTAGCCATCTACATACATATGAGCACATTACTAGGCTTGTCAACGACCTACTTGCCCTGGTCCCCGAGGATAGGGGCAAGGCCCGGGCACTTGCAATGGAGATTCAACGAGCTTACCAACAAGCCTACCAGCAAGCCATCACACCGCCCCCCCAGGCTAAGGCTACGGCTACGGCGTTGAACCTACCTACCCTACGAAAGGTAGTAGCCGAAGAGGTGCGAGCGGCACTAAGAGAAACTAAATCAGGGCAGGCCCAGGCTACTCGGACCTGGGCTGACATAGTTCGGGAACCCCCACAAGCCACTATAGCCCAGCCAGCCAAGGTTATCCCAGCCAAGCAGAACTGCGAGGTCCTTGTTCGCGGGGGCCATCTATCACCCGACCTAGCCAAGAGGACCCCCCTAGAAATCATTCAAGCCGTTAACGGGGCCTCTAGCCGACAAGGGGCTATTGCAGCCCGGAAACTACCTAGCGGAGATATAGTAGTTACCTTCAACAACCCGGATACCAAGCAATGGCACTCTACCAACCACGACTGGATTCAACGGGCCTTCGGAAGCCAGGCAAAGGAAGCCCGGCGGACCTATGGAGTGGTAGTCAAGGGTCTACGGAAGGCTGACCTCCAGGGGGCTACAGAGGCTAGTTTTCAAGAAGAGGCCAGGCTACAGGCAGTGGAAAAGATCATCTTCCAGTACCCCCATAACCCAGACTTCACTAGGGTCCCTGTAGTTATAGCCTTTACTAGCCAGGAGGAGGCTAAAAAGGCCTGTGACCTAGGGGTCCTATACCGGGCTCAGCTCTTTAGCTGCGAGCCATACTGGGCTCCGCTACGGCCAACGCAGTGCTTTAAGTGCTGGAAGTGGGGCCATATAGCTCGCTACTGCAGAAAGGACCCCCTTTGCCCCCGTTGCGGCGCTGGAACCCATGGGCATGGTGGTAAGGAAGGCGAAGAGCAATGCCCTACCTATACTACAGGCCAGTTTAGATGCCCAGCCTGCGGGGGTCACCACTCGGCCAGGGACAAGCAGTGCCCAGAACGGCTCCGAGTACGGGCTATAGCTAAGGAGGCCTATCAACACAGGCCTAGAACCTTCGAATCAACTACTTCCAAGCTACAACAACCAACCTTCGACCTCGACTTTACCCGAACAACCTACCCTACAACCGCAACCACAACCCCTATCTTTGGCTCCCTCTCTCTAAGCCACGACGACCAAGATATAGGCCCTTCTAGAAAACGACCACGGGGCAGGCCAACAAAGGCCCAACAAGATCCCAAGCAGCTCCGACTATCCATCTCCCAGCCTACTAGCCAGGCTATAAGCCAGGCTACAAACCAAGCTACAAACCAGAACGACCCAACTAGCCAGCCAACCAACCACCTAGCCAGCCAGCCAGCCGACCACCTAGCCAGCCAACCCTCTAGTACTACATGGTAGTTACCATACTACAATGGAATACCGGAGGCATCAAGCAACCACTAGAAATCTTAGTAGAGGAGGCCAAGTTCGACGTCCTAGCTATACAGGACCCGTGGATCAACCACCAAACTAAGTCTACCTACTGCCCTCGACGTAGCCAGTACCACCTAGTCTATCAACCTAGTGGTCGGGCGGCTATACTGGTTAAGAAGACAATTGACCTTAGCCAATGGGACTATGGGGTAGCTGAACATTGGTGCTGGGTTCGGTTCGCAGGCTATGAAGGTAGCCAGGGGGTCGAGGTCTGGTCGGTCTATAACCCCCCGGCAATCAAGACAATACCGGCTACTCTTTTGCAACAATACCCCCGACCCTCTAGCCAAGTAATACTTACAGGGGACTTCAACCTTCAACACCCAGCCTGGGACTACTACGAACGCTACGATAACGAAGCCAACAACCTGCTCCAGTTAGCCACCTCTTGGGACCTTAGGCTAGTAACCCCCAAGGGCACTATAACTAGGGAACCACAGGGTAGGCAACGGGGGCGCCCATCGACTATCGACCTAATCTGGGCCTCTACGGACCTTGCCTGCTCCTACTACGGTATTAAAGAAAGGGGAGATTCCGACCACTACCCCCAAGTAGTAGAGGTCTACCTCGAACACCCCCCTATAGCCCCACCCCCCCCTGGTTGGTCCTGGAAAAAGATGGATAAAAAGAGGGTAAAGGCCGAAGCAGCCCTCTTACCAGGCCTCTGCGGGCTAGATAACCCTGGCCCGCAGGGCCTACAGAGCCGTACCCAGTCAGTAGAAGGCCTAGATAAGGCATTCGACTGGCTTGTCGAAGAACTTACAAGGATTGCCAACGCTAGCACCCCCCGAAGGAAGCCTAACAATGGATTTCAAGCCCCCTGGTGGACGAACGAGGTGCAACAAAAGGTCCAGGGGGCCCGGGAGGCCGAACGTATGGCTAAAGCCGCACCTACAGCCTATAACAAGGCCCAGCTAAATCAGAGACTCCGGGACCTTTCAAGGGCTATACGACAGGCTAGAACAAGGACCTGGAGGTCTACCCTACAGGAAGCCAGTCATAACGAATCACTCCTTTGGAGCCTAGAACGGTGGGCTCGTTGCAAGAGCTTCCAGCCTACTAGCCCCCCTAGGCTCCCGGCCATCAACGGCTATACCACCCATACCCAGAAGGCCCAGGCCCTGGCCAACCGTTTCTTTCCAAGCCCGCCAGCTGACCTCTCCAACATCCAAGATCCCACCTTTTCCCAGCCGTGGGAACCGAAGATCCCAATAAGCCAGGTGGTTAGTGCTAGGGACATACAAGATGCCATTGCCCGGGCCGCTCCCTGGAAGGCCCCAGGTAACGACTACCTCCCTATAGGCCTATTGAAGGCCTGTGGTAGGCCATTGTACAGGATCCTCGCACTACTCACCCAGAGATGCCTCGAACTACAATGGGTGCCAGCCAGGCTAAAGGAGGCTATAGCTATAGTGCTCCCAAAGCCTGGTAAAACCCCAGCTGACTACCTTACCCCCGGAGGCTATAGGCCTATTTCGCTCCTTCCTACCATTGGCAAGGTAGTGGAAATAGTGGTTACCAAAAGAATCACAGAGGCAGCCGAAGCCTACGGCCTATTACCCGACGAGCAGATGGGTAACCGAGAATATAGGTCAACAGACCTAGCCATTCGGCTTGTGGTAGCCCAGATCCAAGAGGCCTGGAGACAACGCGCTACGGCTTCCCTATTGCAGTTAGATCTCACAGGGGCCTTCGACCGGGTAAATCATACCCGGTTACTGGCTACAGTCCGGGACCTCGGGCTCCCGCAGTGGCTTGTAGGTTGGCTACGGTCGTGGCTAACGGGCCGGAAGGCCACACTCCTATTCGACGGCCAACTTGCCCCGGAAATCGACATCCGAGCTGGAGTGCCACAAGGATCGCCACTATCACCAATCCTCTTTATACTATATATAGCCTCGCTATATAAAGTACTAAAGGAAAAGCACCCTCTGGTCAGCTTAGTGGGATTCGCAGACGACACCAACCTCCTAGCTTTTGGAAGGGACCCCTATATCAACTGCCGGCAACTGGAACAAGCCTGGGCTACATGTCTACAGTGGGCTAAATCCTACGGAATGGAATTCAATGGGGCCAAGTCAGAGCTGATCCACTTCAACAAAGGCCGTAAACAGTGGTCTGAACCACTACGACTAGCCAAACCGGGCCACCCTCATGACCACACTACGGTTAAACCAACGGCTTCAGCCCGGTTCCTAGGGGTCTGGCTCGACTGGAGGCTTTCTTGGAAGGCCCACGGAGCCAGCATAGCTACCAAGCTAAGAACCCAAGACTTTGCCCTATCAAGGATAGCAGCCAAGACCTGGGGCCCGGGGCTAATCAGGGCCAGAGAGGTCTATACCAAGTGCATTCGTAGCGCAATAGCCTATGGGGCATCCAGCTTCCACAAGCCTACAAC